ATGACTTGGGGTAAAATTGGCTGAAAATCAAAAATCCTTGAGAGCTTCTGAGCCTGAACTTCCGAACATCTCACTCTCCAAGGAGAATTTTGGGCTCCTTTGGTGCATGAGCCCAGAGTGGAAAAGGATGTTTCTTCCTCATCCTATTCCCTAAAAAATGTAGGAAGCCTCTCCATGCTCGTAAAACCAGAGAATGTGGAGTTGGGGAGGGATTTCATTGGAAGATTTTTAATGATTCAGGGTAAAATTGGCCAAAAATCAAAAATCCTTGAGAGTTTGTAAGCCTGAACTTCCAAACATCTCACTCTCCAAGTTGCTGCACGAGCCCAGCATGGAAAAGGATGTTTCTTCCTCATCCTATTCCCTAAAAACGTAGGGAACTCATAAAATCAGATGATACAGAGGTGGGGGTGTCACCTTGGAGATTTTTAATGATTCGGGGTAAAATTGGCCGAAAATCAAAAATCCTTGAGAGCTTCTGAGCCTGAACTTCCAAACATCTCCCTCTCCAAAGTGAATTTGGGGCTCCTTTGGTGCATGAGCCCAGAGTGGAAAAGGATGTTTCTTCCTCATCCTATTCCCTAAAAAATGTAGGAAGCCTCTCCATGCTCATAAAATCAGAGGATGTGGAGGTGGGGAGGGATTTCATTGGTGTCACCTTGGAAGATTTTTAATGATTTGGGGTAAAATTGGCCGAAAATCAAAAATCCTTGAGAGCTTGTGAGCCTAAACTTCCAAACATCTCCCTCTCCGAGGTGAATTTTGGGCTCCCCAGCGGCGTGGAAGTGCCTCCATGGTGGAGTTGACCCTGGCTGTGTTTGTCCCCCAGCCGTGCTGTGCAGAGGAGCTTGGCCATCATCCGCCAGGCCAAGCAGAGGAGGAAGAAGAAGGAATATTGCATGTACTACAACCGCTTCGGGAAGTGCAACCGCGGCGACAGCTGCCCCTACATCCACGATCCCGACAAAGTCGCCGTCTGCACCAGGTGGGGAGGGATGTGGAAGCTGCCGGGATGTTGGTGGGCTTTGGTGTGATATTCCAAAGGGAAACAGGGTGATAGAGGGTTGTAGGATCGCAGGGATGGGTGTTCTTGGGTTGGGAGGGATCTGCGGGAAGAGGATAAGAAAAGGTTGTAGGATCATGGAGTGGTTGGGGTTGGAAGGGATTTTGGAGGGTCATCCCATTCCGACCCTCTGCTGTGGGCAGGGACACCTCCCACTGTCCCAGGTTGCTCCAAGCTGGCCTTGGACACTCCCAGGGATGGGGCAGCCACAGCTTCCCTGGGAAATCCATCCCAGCACCTGGGAACAAAATATCTTGGAAATAATTGTCCTGCTTTAGTAATTGATGATTTGTTTCCAAGTGTTGGCAAAGCAGGGAAAATAAAGCCCTTGTTCATCCGTGGATTGGGTTGGAAGGGAATTTTGAGGGTCATGGAATTCCAAACCCCCTGCCATGGGCAGGGACACCTCTCACTGTCCCAGGTTGCTCCAGCGTGGCCTTGGATACTTCCAGGGATTCAGGGCCAGCCACAGCTTCTCTGGGAATTCCATTCCAGCCCCTCCCCACCCTCCCAGCCAGGAATTCCTTCCCAATATCCCATCTAACCCTCTGGCAATGGGAAGCCATTCCCTGTGTGCTGTCCCTCCATCCCTTGTCCCCAGTCCCTCTCCAGCTCTCCTGGAGCCCTTTCAGGCCCTGGAAGGGGCTCCAAGTTCTCCCTGGATCCTTCTCTTCTGAGCTGAGGGACTTGAGACCCTTCCCTGACCACACACCGGGCGATTCCAGCGGCAGCACTTCCCAGATCTGCTCGAATCCATACAACAGCTTCCATTCCCTCATCCGGTGACGTCGCGCGGCTCCGAGAGCAGATGATTAATTCCAGGAGAACGGACTCCCGTTGCCAGCTCGTTAGACCTGCCCAGGAGTTGATTAAACTCCATTATTAGTCATTTAAAAAGTGCAGGAAAGCCAAATCCGCCGATGAACTCCCGGAGTAAATTTCTCCATAAAAATTGCTGCTGGGCTGGGATCGCTTGGAAGCCGCCCCGGGCTCGGTGGGAGATCAGGGAGGAGGGAAAGGTGATTTATGGGGTTTTTTAACCACAACACATCCCACAGCTCCTTGCCTGCTTTAGGAATTGCTGCTCCATGAGGTCTTTGGGATCTCCATTCTGCCCTGTTTCCGAGGATCACTGGAGGACAACACTGATTTTCTCCCGGTCTTGTGTCTCCTCCTCCTGGTGCCTTTGACCCCAATCCCAATCTTTAGCTTTTTCCCTTATCATCCCTTAATTTTGTGAATCTCCTGTCACAGTGGCAGCCTCCTGGGAAAACTTCTGGCTCCAAACATCCTTTGGGATCTTAGGATCTGTCCTGTGCCTGCTTCTGCTCCTCCGGGGTTTGGCCGCTCCCACCTGGAGCTCCTCCCGGAGCTTCATCCGGAATCATGGAGTCATGGAATGGGTTGGGTTGGATGGGACCTTCAAGATCACGGAATTCCAGCCCCCTCCCACGGGCAGGGACACTTTCCACTAGCCCAGGTTGCTCCAAGCTTCATCCAAACTCCCCCTGGAACACTCCAGGGATGGTGATTCCATCCTGGAGGAATCAGGGCTCTTGGAAGGACTTTTTCTCCTTCTGGAAGCATCATCCCTGAATTTTTGGGGTACAGCCCTTGCTCTGCCAACTAAGGAGCAGCCAAATTGGATGAAAGGACCGAATCCATTGGGAATCAGCAGCTGCTTTTCCAACAGGAGGAACCTTCCCCAATTTAGGGTCTCAGCGATGAGTGTGTGTCAAAACCTCGTGGTTTGGGACCCACCTCCTGCTCAACCCTCTCCCTCTGCTGTAATTCCAGGTTTCTCCGTGGCACGTGCAAGAAGACGGATGGGACCTGCCCCTTTTCCCACAAAGTGTCCAAGGACAAGGTCGGTGTGACATTCCGAGGGACGCGGGGAGTTGTGGGAAGGTTCTCCCTCATGGAGGGTTTCCAGCTGAGTTTGGGGTTTGCTTCCCAAGCTTTTCAGGCTCCTGGATCAGGATAGAACCATGGAGTGGTTGGGGTTGGAAGGGATTTTGGAAGGTTATCCATTTCCAACCCCCTGCCATGGCCAGGGACACCTCCCACTAGCACAGGTTGCTCCGAGCTGGCCTTGGACACTTCCAGGGATCCAGGGGCAGCCACAGCTTCTCTGGGAATTCCATCCAGTCCCTCCCCACCCCGAGGTTCTAAAAGAGGCCTAGAAAAGGGAAAGGAGCCTGGAGGAGAGGGAAAGGAACCTGGAGGAGTGGGAAAGGAACCTGGAGGAGAGGAAAAGGAACCTGGAGGAGAGGGAAAGGAACCTGGAGGAGAGGGAAAGGAGCTTGGAGGAGAGGGAAAGGAGCTTGGAGGAGAAGGGAAGGAGCCTGGAGAGGGAAAGGACCATGGAGAAGTGGGAAAGGAGCCTGGAGGAGAAGAAAGGAAGCCTGGAGGAGAAGGGAAAGCTGGAGAAAAGGGAAAAGATCCTGGAGGAAAAGGAACCTGGAGGGAAAAGGAAAGAACCTGGAGAAAAGGGGAAAGATCCTGGAAGAAAAGGAACCTGGAGGAGAAAGAAAGGAGCCTGGAGGAGAGAGAAAGGAGCTTGGAGGAGAGGGAAAGGAACCTGGAGGAGAAGGAAAGGAAACCTGGAAGGAAGGGAAAGCTGGAGAAGAAGGGAAGGAGTCTGGGGGCAAAGGACCCTGGTGGAGAGGGAAAGGAGCCTGAGGGAGAAGGAAAGGAGGCTGGGGGAGAGGGAAAACTGGCAGTTAGGGGAATTTTGCTCCACAGAGGATTGCAGGGCAGAGCAGGGAATTCTCTAGGTGGGATCAGAGCCCCGGATTCCTCCAGCAGCGATGGAGAGAACCCAGTGCCTATGAGTGAGGCAGTTTGGGAGTGCAGAAGAACTGCTCCAACAGCTTTTCTCCTTCCAGGAGGTGAAGGATCAAGAGCTCTTGGGTTCAGGATGAAACCTTGGAGCACTCCCGTGCCTCAGTTTCCCCATTGAAAAATGAGGATAATCCCAGTTTTCTGTGGGAAAGCCACGTGGGTTCAGCTGCCCCAGAGCTTTCCCTGGAGAGGAAAAAGAATATGGAGGAGAGAGAAAGGAACCTGGAGGAGAGGAAAAGGATCCTGGAGGAGAGAGAAAGGAGAGGGAAAGGATCCTGGAGAGGGGAAGGAACCTGGAGGAGAGGGAAAGGAAAACCTGGAGGAGAGGGGAAGGAGCCTGGAGGAGAGGGAGAGGAGGAGGAGAAGGAAAGGAACCTGGAGGAGAGGGAGAGGAGGAGGAGAAGGAAGGGAGCCTGGAAGGAAGGACAGCTGGAGAAGAGGGAAAGGAGTCTGGGGGCTAGAGACCCTGGTGAAGAGGGAAAGGAGCCTGGGGGAGAGGGAAAGGAGCCTGGGAGAGAGGGAAAACTGGCAGTTAGGGAATTTTGCTCCAGAGGGGACACAGGGCAAATTGGATGAAATTTGCTCTCCTCTCCCTGGGTGAGGAGCATCTGCCCAGGGAATTCTCCAGGCGGGATCAGAGCCACGGATTCCTCCAGCAGCGATGGAGGGAACCCAGTGCCCCGGAGCGAGGCAGTTTGGGAGCGCAGGGGAGCTGCTCCAACAGCTTTTCCCCTCGAGGAGCTCGGCGAGGAATCAGCATTTTTTTTCCTCCCTAACCTTCCAAAGTCAGCCCGGGAGCAGTCGGGAGGCTCCCGCGGAGTTTGGGATCGTGGAAGCGCCTCCCCCGCAGCGCCAAGGAACGCGCGGGGGTTGTTTGTGCGGCCGGGCCGCTTACAATTAACAAGGTTAATTAAACCCGCGGAGCTGCTGCCCCTCGATAATGGCCCGGGCTCGGCGGGCGGGAGGGGCCGCGCCTCGGGGGCAGAGCCGCCTTTATTATCCCTTTTTATTAGCGCTAATTCGGGCTCTCCATCAAAAGGCGCATTAAGGGAGTCGTTGGCGGCTTCCCGAGCCCCCGTCCTTTCGGGAATGTCGGCGCTTCAAAGGCAATTAAAGATAAACTCTTCCTTTTTTTTTCTTTTTTTTTTTCGAGCGTCCCTTTTGTTTTCTTGCCTCTCTCTCTCTCTCGATTCCTTACAAACCCTCCCCGTGCCCTTCAGGGATAAGGGTGGTTTGTTTTTTTTTTTTCCCTGGATAGTCCCCGCCCGGGGTTGTTGTAGGGTTGGGAATGTTGTGGTGCTGGAGGAGAGGGAGAGGAGCCTGGAGAGGGAAAGGAACCTGGAGAGAGCCTGGAGAGGGAAAGGAGCCTGGAGGAGAAGGGAAGGAGCCTGGAGGAGAGGGAGAGGAGACTGGACAAGGAAAGGAACCTGGAGGAGAGGGAAGCTAGAGAAGGGGGAAAGGAGTCTGGAGGAGAAGGGAAGGAGTCCAGAGAGGGAAAGGAGCCTGGAGGAGAGGGAAAAGAATCTGGAGGAGTGGGAAAGGAGCCTGGAGAGGGAAAGGACCATGGAGGAGTGGGAAAGGAGCCTGGAGGAGAAGGAAAGGAGCCTGGAGGGAAAGGAGGCTGGAGGAGAGGGAAAGGAACCTGGAGAAGCGGGAAAAGAATCTGGAGTAGAGGGAAAGGACCATGGAGGAGTGGGAAAGGAGCCTGGAGGAGAGGGAAAAGAGCAGGAGAGGAAAAGGAACCAGGAGGAGAAGGGAAGGAGCCTGGAGAGGGAAAGGAACCAGGAGGAGAAGGGAAGGAGCCTGGAGAGGGAAAGGAACCTGGAGAAGAGGGAAAGGAGCCTGGAGGAGAAGGGAAGGAGTCCAGAGAAGGAAAGGAACCTGGAGGAGAGGGAAAGGAACTGGCAGGACTGGGATGCTGCCAGTGAACGGAGGGATTGCTCTGCAGGGAGGAAATTCGGGATGTGGGCAGGGCAGGAGGAGCTGGACCAGCTCAGCACATTCTACCTGTGGTAGGGGGTGAGTTAAGGATGCTGGAATATCGCAGCAGGCTGGGAATTCGGAGTTAATTCCAACAGCTGGCAGGAGGTGAAGTTTGGATCCTGCTCAGTCGGTTTTCCCTGTGGTGCCTCGGGAATGTGGGGGGTGGGAGCAGGGCTGTGCCTCTGGATCCAACGCTCCCCTTTTCAAATCTCTGGATCTGAAAGGAACCTGGGCTCTCCCTGTCTTTTCTGTCTCTCCCTCCTGGGATATCCCTCCAGGACATCCCTCCTGGAGCAATCCCACAGGGACATCCCATTGCTTGCAGCCCTTGGTGGGGGTTCCTTGAAATGATGCAGCCTCTCCAAAATCCTTGTGGAAGATCTGAGACCCACCTTGTGGAGCCTTTATCCATGGAAAAGCCAAACAGGGGAGCACCCCTAGGATGGGGTTTTGGCCTTTGTGGTGGCCAGAACCCCTTGTGGAATGTTGATCCCTGTTGCTGCTATTCCCATCTCCATGGCGGCATCACCCCTTGGGAATGACGTTCTCCAGGTTTCCCTCCTGGTGGCCACTCCCTGCTTTCCATTCCCTCCAGCATCCCAAGGGATGCCGAGCTGGGCGTATTCACACACCAGGACCACGGAACATCAGAGATATTCCTTGCAGGACGCCAATGGAAGAGCTAAAAAATCTCTCTGGGATCAGTGGCTGGCAAAAGGTTTCTCTTTATTTCCACTCTGGGGAGGGTTCGGAATGATTCCGGATCTGGGTTTCTCTTCCAGATGCCGGTGTGTTCCTACTACTTGAAGGGGATCTGCAGCAACAGCAACTGCCCCTACAGCCACGTCTACGTGTCCAGGAAGGCAGAGGTGTGCCAGGATTTCCTCAAGGGATATTGTCCCATGGGAGAAAAGGTAAGGAAGGGGGGGTTTATTTATCCCGGCTTCCCAGGGTCCGAAGGCGCGAGCGACGTTCCGACGGCGCCACGGGGCTGGAAAACGCCTGGAGGGGATGAACTGCTTTTCCCAAGGGTTGTGGAAAAGTGAATTTACAGGCAGGGGAAAAAAAAAAAGGAATGAAATCCAAGGTTTCAACTCATAATTGTTGTGCTCCCCGGGAAGGCTCTTCCCGGGGTGTCCGTGTTCCCCTGCCTGGAAAACCCCTCCCCTAAACAGATGGAAAAGAAAAGGCTTGTGATTCCCTGTTTTCCATTGGAAATCCATGGATGTTAAAGCTTTTTTTCCATGCTGGCTCCAGGAGGGGTTAAAACTTGAGCCTTAAATATTGTGGCTTAGTCTTGGGAGCGAGACCAACCTTCCCAGCCGAGCTCAGGGATGTGCCTGGGGATTCATGGAGCCACCTCCAAGTCCTGGGGATTCATGGAGCCACCTCCAGGTCCTGGAGATTCATGGAGCCACCTCCAGGTCCTGGAGATTCATGGAGCCACCTCCAGGTCCTGGGGATTCATGGAGCCACCTCCAGGTCCTGGGGATTCATGGAGCCACCTCCAGGTCCTGGGGATTCATGGAGTCGCCTCCAGGTCCTGGGGATTCATGGAGCCACCTCCAGGTCCTGGGGATTCATGGAGCCAACTCCAGGTCCTGGGGATCCTCTGGTTTGGATCAGTGAAGTCCTGCATGGACTTCCTGTGCACCCTGGGGAGAGTTCCAACGTCATCCATGAGCTTATGGCACCCGATGGAACGGGCAGAGCTTGAGGCAGAGCAGCTTCCCTGGAATTTTAGGGCTCTTAAAGTGCAAAAAAATGGAATGTTTGGGTTTATCCAACATCTTGTGGCTCCCCCATTCTTTGTAAGGGGCGGGAGAAGGGGGTGGCAGCAAGCTCAGGTCCTCACTGGGGTCCTCCCAAGGGTGTGGAGCTGCTGGAGAGAGTCCAGAGGAGGCCATGGAGGTGCTCCATGGGCTGGGGCTCCTCTGCTCTGGAGCCAGGCTGGGAGATCTGGGAATGTCCAGCCTGGAGAAGAGGAAGATCCAGGGAGACCTTGGAGCCCCTTGCAGGGCCTAAAGGGGCTCCAGGAGAACTGGAGAGGGACTGGAGACAAGGGATGGAGGGACAGGACACAGGGAATGGCTTCCCACTGCCAGAGGGCAGGGATAGATGGGATATTGGGAAGGAATTCTTGGTTGGGAGAGGTGAGGTGAGGGGCTGGGATGGAATTCCCAGAGAAACTGTGGCTGCCCCATCCCTGGAAGTGTTCCAGGCCAGGTTGGAGCATGCTGGGATAGCAGGAGATGTCCCTGCCCATGGCGGGGGGTGGGACTGGATGACATTCAATGTCCCTTCCCACCCAAACCATTCCATGATTCCATGATTTTCTGTGTGGCGTTGGGCCATCCCTGAGCCCAGGGGGAGGATGGCAGCCATCCTCTTCCTCTGGGAAGCTGGGAGGCACATCTGGGATACTTTTCCTATGGAAAAACCATCTCCTCCATGTCCTGGATCGGTTCATCCGCTTCCGTGAGCCGACAGCAACCGACAGCACTTTCATTCACGTCCCCTTAAACATGCTGGGCTTGGACTTGCTGCTCCTGGAGATCTCTTCCTGCCTCATGGTTTCGGCTGCTTCCCACCGGGGAAGATGCTGGGATGAGCAGTTGGATGCTTGGATCCATGTGCTGGAGCTCCAAAGGGCTTTTCTCCTCCTTTTCTCCATCCCTCATTGGCCAAGCGGAGCGTGGGCGCCCCGTTCCCGTCCCTGTGACGACATCACCTGTCCCAGGCTCCAAACAGAATCCAAACGTGACCTTGGGTGGACTAATTGGATCGTTTAGGTCGGGAAAAGACCTTGAAGCCCATCAAGTCCAACCTTTAAGCCAAGTCCCACCTTTTCCCAAGGAGAAAAGCACCACGGAGCAAAAACCAGGCAAGAAGAAGGGAGGGGGGAAAAAGAAGCTAAAAAGGGAGAGTTTTAGGGCAAGCAGCACATCAGCAGCAACGGAGGGAAGCTCTAATAAATTAGTCTGGGCTTAATTCCTTCTTGGAGGGGATGGGATAAACAATTCCCGGGAAGGAAAACGCGGGAACGCCGCCGGCCTCCCCTGCGGCCCGGCGCCAACCACGCAGGCAGGGGCCTGTGCCAATTCGTTTCGAAAAAAACTATTGCAATTTAAATGAAAATATCAAAGAGATAGTTAGAATATTTATTCTATTAGGAAAAGTGCTTACGGCGTCACTTTGGGAGCGTCGGGGAAGGCATTCTCCTCCGGATGATGGATAGCAGCCTGTAATTATGGATGGGGGAGAAAGTGCTGAGAGGGCCAGATTGAACTGGGGGAGGGAGAAATACCAGCGTGGGCCATTAAGGGTTAATTTTATCCTCTAAATAATATCGAAAGTGCTGAGTCCGGGCCTTTTGCTCCGAGCGGAAAGTCCTCAAATGGACCCCGGAGAGTTTCTAATATTCTCCTGAATCGAGGGAAAAATGTTAACCTCGGCTTCCATAAAAAACGACGGCTCGTTAAAGAGGCAACGCTCCCTTTTCCCAGTGAATAATTTAGGCCGGGAGTAAATCTTGCCCTCGTTCCGCCTTTCCCCGCCCCGGGAACGGGGGAGACGCCGGAGCGACATCCTGGGTGGATAAACTCGGAGAAGGGAAGGAATAATTTGGGATTTAGGTGCTTTTATGTTGGAATTCGGCACACGGGGCTCTTCTCCCCGTGGCGTTTTCCTCCTTGTGCCCCTCCCCAAAGAGCAATTCCTGGTTTTTATCAGGCTGCCATCAAAAGTGTCCATTATGATCCATAATTTATGACATGGCAGCGGCGCCACTTAAGCACTTCCTGGGATGTCTCGGAGGATTCCAGGACAAGTGGATCAAGCCTTTGACCCATCCCATGGGCTGGAACTCCCAACTACCAGGGCCAACCTGCTCTGGCTTCATCAGGAATTATGTGGGATAACATGGGAAAGCTTTAAGTTGGCATTCCCAAATCCCTTTTTCCGGGAATTTGGGCTGGAGAGGGCCAAGGTCCCTCCACCCTTTGGGAGAGGGGCAGTTCCTTCATTAAGGGAATGTCATCCCCAATATTAATTATTTGGTCACAGGTTGGACTCTCTGATCTTGGGGGTGGTCTTTTCCAACCTAAATGATCCTGGGATTCTGTTTCCAGAAGGTGGAACCAGTGGCAAAGAGAGGGCCTTGATTTCCAGCATCCTCAACGGGTTCCTCGGTCGTGGCTCGGGAATTTCTCCACCTTTTTGTGCTTCCCAAAGGGATTGGAGGGACCTGCAAGTTGAGCTTGGTGAAGCAGTGGGTGAAATAGGGCTCCAAATATCCCCATGGATATCTGGATCATCCCTAAACATGATGGCATCCGTGTCAACTAAATCCATGAAGAGATTCCCACCGTGGAGGTCTCTGTGCCACCTTTCCTGGAGCTCCCTGACCTTCCCCCTGGAAGTGGGAAGAGAGGGAGAAATGGGGCCTCTCTCCCAGGGGCTCCCCAGGGTTTTCCAAAGACAATGAGCTGCTCCTCTCTGGCTCCACATCCCTCCT